TATCCTGATTAATTAACAGGGTACTCCGTAATTCCCCATGGATCCCCTCATAATAATTGACTCCCCGCGTTGTGAATCAACCCACTCCATGATCGTTGCCTGACTTTTGAACATCCTTCGACCTGACCTGACGACTAGGTGCGTTCCATCTGCAACCCCGTAAGATTGTAGTTTAGCGGTCAGTAGCTCGGTCAGCGTCCTACAGCCAGTCAATTCGTTTCTAATACAAATATCAACCTTCATGAATGGCCTCATTTGCTATTGTTTCCTCTCCGACGTTCCCACCCTGGACGATAGCCGCAATAACCTCCGCCGCTCCTGTTTTCCGTTGAAATCGCTCCTCTCCGCTATGCTCCGCTCTCCGCATTCATGGAGCCTAATCTGATCTGTTTAACCGACGCGGAGAGGTGTGTTCTCGTTATTGTGTCCAATCAAGCACAGGCTAATAGGCAGCTACAGCTACTATTATCGCATATCTATCCGCCAAGCTGTCAATCTGTGAATAGCTTTTGCAACATGGTTTCGTGTAAGAGAAATACGGCCGAGGGATGGACTGCTTTGCCGCTAACGACGAGCCAACCACTTACGACCGCACTCTGACTCCCGACGAGCGCCTCGAGTTCATGGATCAGGGTGTCTAGAGTGCCAGGGTTTGAATGGATAGCGCCGAATGGCTGGAAGATGCTGCGAATCCGTGCGCCGCCGGCTGGAACGTTAAACCTTCATCTGCAGGGATCAGCTCAACCTCCAAACTTGCGACACCAATCATGGCTTGCCATTTTCAAAGCCCAGCTAGTCCGATGTCGCGCCCACGTTGTCTCGTCTCTACGAGCAGCATTGAGGAGCCATGAGCCATGAGCATCAGCGTCCTTGTGAACCTGGGGCGGGACCTTTGACGTACAGATGCTGCGCGGGGGAGCTTGGGATGGGCCTGATTCGTCTATCAACCCCCATCTTGCACTACCTACACTGCACTTCAGTCCGAGTAGCTGGATGCTGGTGTTACATCTGGATTCTCTGTGCGAGATTCGAGATGTGATTCCGTCCGTGTGCCACTCACTACCTTAACCATTGTCCCTACGTACATGCAAACGCTAGATTATTGCTACGTTATACTCATATGTTGTAATTTGGTGTGGTACATACGTGAAGTGAATATCATCTAGGCTCTAGGCTGGCTGTGATCTTCCACCTTGTCTTGCCTGTCTCTGCCTGCCAGTATGCCACGTCGACGCAAGCATTACAACGTTTGAGATAATTAGAGTCGCTTCCCTGCCCTGTTATTTGCCTCAACCACGGCCATTGCCGCTATGGAATATCCCTCCTGGACTCGCGTGAAAAGCAGGCCACACTGCATAGTGGAGTTGAATTTTGAAATTGTGCCCTGGGATCTCGGGATGTTTCTGAGAGTCGCCGAGCGCATCTCAGAGCCAGCCGAGGACATGGACCCCCAACGTGAGCGTTTTTGGTTCTCGGAGTCAGAGTCAGCGCCTTGAATCGTTGATGGGAGGCACTTACACGTGTGATGTTCATCGCCGTCACCTCATTATCTCACAGATTCACAGTCAAAAGATGGACAACATAAAATTGGGAGAGGCGACCAATCAGGGTCTCCAAAGTCAAGTCGTTTCTTATCTCGAGCCAACCACCGTTTACTATGTCTCCAGGTGCACTAAAACGGAACAAGCTCGTGCCGTGCACACCACACACACGGCAGCCAAAGCGTGCCAAGGGTAGAAGATCGTCTAGCGCCGTCTTTAGTCGACGCCATCGCGCAGATGCACCTGTCTCACCATGCTTCGGGAGTCCCTGCGGGGACCCTGCCTGCGAGGTTAGGTTCTGTGAAGTGTTGCAGTTGCAGTGGGCTTGCATGAAAGACGTCACTGAGATGGGCAATTCGAACCGGTACAACACTGAGAGGCCAATGGTTGCAAGGGCTGTAAAAACATGTGGTCTGGGGAAAGACAGACAACATTTGAGGAGTTTTGCACGGATCTCAAGTCACTGCTCCCCGATGCATGACGAGTACGGTCTTTGTCCTCCGTTAGACATGACAGCATATGTCTTTCACGAATACGTACGACGCTCTCAACTCGTCTCGGCCGCATTACAGTCAAGACTCTGGAGGATCCAGTCCAATGCTACCAGATCTCGTTCGCGTTGGCCGTATTTCCTAGCGCGGGGAGCCACAATTGCTTATCTCTCGGCGTTGATACCGCATATAAAATATACTAAAACGGCGGCGGGCGAATGGATCCCGAAAGGAGCTCAAATCAAGAGTTGAGAGATTATAAATAAAAGCGAGTTGCTGGCTCGTTTGCCTTGAGCGGAGACTGCCTGTGGACCACAGCGAGTTCGGCGGTGCTAAACGGCATCTCACGTAAGTTGTGCTGCTCTTATTGCTGCTGCCGCTGTGGCCTACATTGCTAGGCTGGGCCGTCTGCAGTAAGTGCAGTGCATCTCCATTACGGGCTTGCGGAGCCGTCAATCCGTAGACATAGCCTCGTTCAGTCTATGAACCAGAGATGCCCAGAGTCCAACTTCCCGATCCCCGAAAATCCAGAGCAAAAACAAAAAACCTCATTCAGTTCCAGGCCGACGGAGAGAAGCCGACGGTCTTTGCGGCCAAATTCCGGAGTTGCTATGGTTGCTTTGCTGTGCTCACTACTGGCTAGGGAGCCTCCCACTCCTGATTCCGACTTCTTCCGATGTCCAACTCGAGTTTTGCTACAGGTAATTTACGAGCTACTTTACCTACCAAGGTATGGAACGAATTCTTTGCATGAAGCAAGGGTCTAGCGCTGTACGGTACAGGGCAGTAATGCAAGCGAGTTGCAGGAGTTTGTCGAGATACCATCCATCCAATGCTGAAGTAGCACAAGGTACAGCACACGACAATCGAAGATTTGGTTACCAAACAAAATGAATAAACCACCGATTCTTCCTGCAGCCTCATTGTTGATCGTATCAGAAAGTCTCCGAAAGGAGATCATATGCTTGGCTCCAGGCGGTGAGCTCAGTTCAATTTCAGATCGACAGAGTTGCAGTTGCTCTTTGGGGGTTTCATTTCCCAGATCAGAGACATGAGTCTAGAACAAGCAAGGTGTTGCCCTCTGCTGTAAACCGCTCATGTCAAGCCGACCCAGCCGCTGGAAAATATTCAGCCGTATTTGAGGTAGTGTTTAGTCGACCGGAGATGCTCACAGCCAGCCAAACTCAGGTCTCATAATTCACATATCACTTTTTGATCAACAACCCTGTCAATTCCTTTAACTCATTAACGTTTTGTGAAGCTCGTAATGTTGCATTGTTTCGACAACGGGTTCCCACCAATGGCGGCTATTAGGCGCTGAAGCGCGTTTATGGCGGGAATTGCCCCGCCATTTCGTAAGAGGAGACTTAAGGTTGTTGTCCTGGAAATGTCAAGTCAATACAACATCAATAGCTACACCTAACAGCTTGACGCGACCGCGTCTTGACCTGGCTGTCATGTTCACCACACTACCAGATTTCACACCGCGAGACGTAAGGCTGTTGCAGACGTAGTTAACTACAAATGCTAATGTACTTAGTCGCATTCTTTGTGGTACAGATCTTCTCGCAGTCCTTACACCCCACCTGGACCTCTCGACGACATTAGCGGTGATACACATAACATTCAACATGGCGCAAACCAGGCCCGACAACGAACAAAGCTCATTGAACGATCAGCTCTCGCTCGGCTGGCCGCAGACGAACAGTACATGCAAAGAAGACGACTGAACGTTCAAAATTATGGCAGTGGCTGGCTGAAACCCCCAGGTGTTCCTAAGACATTGCACCAGATGCGTGAGGAGAAGCGGGAGCAAGAGGAGCACCAAGAAGCAATGCGCCGAGAACAACTAGCTCAAGAACTAGCTGAAGCTGAAGCGGAGGGTATGCCTGGCGAGGGTACTATGGATGATGTCCAGCTTGACGGAGCTCAAGATTTAGACGATGAAATTCCTGATGCTGATGAAGAAGGATATGCTTTTGGCGACGAAGATGAGGACGATGACGAAGAGGACGAGGAAGAGGAAGAGGATGAAGAGGATGGTGAAGAAACAGATGATGAGGCTCTGAGAGCAGAGCGCCAGAACGATCTCATGCAAGCACGTATGAGGATGGGCGACGACGCTTTTCGCGAGGCCCTGGTCCGCGGTGAGCCGGATGCTAATGATGTGTACGGCGACACCGAAGAGCTCGAAGAAGAAGAGGATAACGGCCATCTTCTCGACGAGGAAGACTTCGCTCAAGACGATGACCTTGGCATGGATATGGATGCCGATCTTGACGAAGATATCCCCGAAGCTGAGAGTGGCGGCTACGAGCATACCGACTCCGAGGCCGAAATCTCTAGTAGTGAACAAGATTCATCCAATGACGACGAGGATGATGATGAAGACGACGTTGACGTTAGTTTCGCACCTCGCTCTGCAACCCTCCCTCGTCCTATGTCACCTACTTTCCAGGGCCGTTCTAGCATGGCACATCCACGCGCCAGCATGGATCTAAGTAACCTTCTCTCTCAAGACGGCAGCAGTTTTATGCAGAGCAGTCCCGCTGGACGACGAGCCCGTCACAGCTAGCACTTTACGACTAATGCGACACGATCAACAGATAGACTAGTTCAGACAGCAGTGTTATATACCCATTCATTGTTCATTATCAAAGCAGAATTGAAGTTGAGCGCTTCCCGTCTTTCGATATGTTTAAGTGAAAGATGGGTTGCTAGCCACAGGCTTGCCCAGAAGTGTGATTACAACCTTTGTAGAGGGCAACCTGATCGTTGCGTGATGTGATGCTTCTCCCATGTCTGCCAAGATCACCGATTATCATGCATTATTCTAAATTGCAAAACGCCAATCCAAACGCCATTTCAGAATGCACATCGTACTGCTCTTTTTTCTTTTTTTCAGTCAATCAATGTCTCCATGCTCTTCAGTCGATGATTCGAGTCGTGTCATGTGAAGACCTCGAGATTAAAATAGCCAAACGTAGATGAAAAGCATGATCACAGCGGCGAAGAAGATGAGCCAGACCTTCCAGCCAACACCAGTTCGCTGAGCCATGACAAGCATGCGGTTCATAGTGCCACGAAGTCGCAGGCGTGTCGAGTCGAAACTATCGTTCATCTTCTCCGCCAGCGCCGAAGACTCACGGATCTCGTCTCCAATCGCAACCGTCATCTATCAACCAACTGTCAGCTCCTCCACCACCAGCATCCCTTGGAAAGGAGTAAAACTCACGTCCTTCAACACCTTGACTTTGCCAAGAATACCCTCCACCTGCGCATCGTTCTGGCTCTCAAGCTCATTGAGCACCGCATCGCTATACTGGCCCCTCTTGTTCGGCGTCGCAGAGCGGAACGAACCAGGTCTCGATGCATCGAAACCTCCCTGTCCAAGGGGCGAAGGCGAGGGGGCTCCGTAGCCGCCGTAGCCGTATCCTCGGTTTGGGCTCGCGCTAACGGGTCGTCGAGATGCTGCGTCGCCGGTGTAGCCCTCGAAGAGAGCGCTGCGAGAGTCGCGCTGATGAAGCGACGATGCACCGAATCTATGATGCGCTGTCAATACTCTGTCTCGAATCGATTGTTCGGGTTCTGATGATGCGATTTGCCACCATCTGCAAAGGAGCGTCGTACCGTTGCGCCATGACTATTCTGTCGAGACCAGATAGTCGGGGGGCAAACCAAGAAAGGGTTTGTGTATAAAGGAGAGGAAGATTAAAAAATTATCGAGGGGTTCGCGAATCTTGGGTCCTCCCCCCTACGATACCCTGGTTATTTTTCTTAGGTGTTCTCTTAGCTGATGACAGCGGTCTGGCTCATTGGATTGGGGAGGACGGAGGATACGTACCGAGGGGCTGTCCAATCCCGTGTCATGGTCTGGAGTTTGATGTTGAATTTCGACTTGAGGACAAGTCACAATTAACTTGATATGTTGTTGAGATAGGCACTTAATTACGTATACAATGACGGGCATGATGGTTTACTATGGATGGTAGGCATAAGTGAGTCAAGCATGGCACATGAGCTTAGAGCAGGCAGAGCTTCAGCACAGCTATAATTTCTCAAATCAGCGCGTGATAAACATCGCAACATTGATGTTGCACAGGGATTTTGACGGTATTAATGCCATCTCAAATTGCTCATAAATGCATGTAACTGCACGCGTACAGTACATATGCAAAGCGGTTGAATGCTAAAGGTGGCTGATGCTATCCACGACTCCGTGCCGCCTAGATCCCCAAGCCCAGAGCCTGGGTAAACAGGTATAATCATCCGCGCCCACGCCGTTTTATTTTTGCTCAGTTCCAAAATTCATAACATCGTACTGTCTCCTCCATAAACACCCATAAGATCAGGACATGGCGTGCATTTAGTCAGACATCTTGGTGTCCTCGTTGGGGGGCTGGAAGTCTTCATCGTCTTCCTCATCCTCGTCGTCGGCAGGGACTTGCTCGGCGGCCTTGGCGAAGTCAATTTGGGCACCTCGAGTACGGCGACCTTGGACGATGTTGTTAGGGTCAATCTCCTCCAAGCCATCTTCCTCATCTGCGCGCGTGGGTTAGCTTGATTCATGGTCTGAATTTTACAGTGCATGTAATTACCGGCTTCGGGGACCTAAGAAAATCAATGTTAGCAATTGTTGAGAACCAAGTATCGGAGGACGGCAGCACATACCTCCTCATCATCATCATCGTCGCTGTCATCGTCGTCATCCTCATCCATAGCGGTGTCCTCAGTCATCTGCTCAGCAGGAGCCTTTCCCTTTCCCTTCTCCTCGGCAAAGGTAGCGCCCTGGACCTGGGAAGGATCCTGGGGAAGAGTAGCGTTGTTGTCGGCCATCGTTGCGTTGGTATTGCTTTTATGGAAAGCCAAGGAGTGAAAAGTGCGATGTTGTTTGGCAGCGGTGTGAATGCAAAGAGAGGTGAACGAAGTGGATGTATGCAAAGGTTGAAATGCGGCGCGAGCTGCGGGTGCTGAGCTGCAAGTGCGACCCAGATCTCGTTCCCTTAATATCCATGGCAACCAGAGGATGAGCTGATGGATCTAGCCCGATATAGACTAGGTAGTAGACCAAGCGGGTATCTACCTATGCTAAGTCTCCCACGTGATCTGCTGGAGATCACTCAAATACTGTCTTCAAGGTTGATAGGCAATGCGAGGTGAGAAAACTGTAAACCTCTTTTTCTATGTACCTAAGGTAGTTAATGAAAAGACTTAGGTAAGCTCAGTATGTCTTAAGCATTTCGATCAGCATTGTAGCGTTCTTATTTAGGACTAGAAGCTTTCCGACTCGCTCACAATATGCCTACTTTGTTAGTCTACAATGCCTTTTCTCATTAACAGATTGCTCTCTTACTCAAGTGTGATCACATATCTGTTCTAGAGATATGGTACACAATACCATCCGACAAAGCAAGTTGTATGATGGTATCGCCATTAGACTCGATCGACTTAGGATCCAAAAACTCCTATTGGGGAATGAGAGTGTCCTTAAAACTCGTTCCCATGCCTCTGTAACACGAGGTTGGATGTACGTCTTCTAAGTGCTCTGCCATATCATAGACGCCTCACTCTTGCGGTAAGAAGCCTGCTGCGATGCCTTTTTGCTCATTCCATAATGCAAACGGGCTGCAGCTTCGGCATACTAGGGGCAACTCGCTAGCCATACATATAAGTTCACTGATCTATTCGTTGCTCGAACAGGGAGCAAGCGAGGCAAGACTCAGACTTATCGATTCTAAGTGCTGCCATCCCCAGCTTTCTGATAGGCGTTGAAGAAGTCCCGAGCATCGATCATGGATGAGATATAAAGCCGTAAGAATCCGGAACTTCCACTGCGGCAACTCCAGGATCTGCCATGATACGAATATGATTGAGGGGGTATGGGTGGCCAGCGCCATAGGCAAATGCTACATTGGAGTCCTCGAAAACAAAGTAAGTCCTTGAGCTACAGTGGTAAATTACCTAGTACCGAAAAGAGATACAAGCTCCATTACACGTCAGATGAATAGCGATAATATAGCTCTCAATGGATTGGAAACTTACTTTCGCCGTGAACTTTGTAGCCTGCTGTCCTTGGCCAACACTGCAAACAATCTTCCCAGATATCCCCAGTACTCTGGCTCTTCAGGGCCGAGTTTGCTACGCAACTTCGGTGGCCCTTGTGACATACTCGATTTCTGAGTTTTCTTTTCTACCGAAGTGAAGGTGCGAATACCGACAATGTGAGTCGCTTGGAGACTAAATAGTGAACTCCAAGGTCAAAGAATACTCCTCGTTGAAGCCACCCAATGTGGGGAGAGCTTTGAAATGGAGTTTATGACAACTGTGTGGTCCAGTCTCGATTTCATGGCGCTCGTCGTCCAAGCCAAGCTGCTTTCCAGACGCTGGAAGCTCAATGTGTTGCCAAACGTACTGAATTAGTTCTCTGTAACGTCAACGTATGAGGAACCCGAACTTTTGGAAGGACTTTGAGTTCAACGCAACTCTCTTCCCACTCGTTTCGTATATCGGGAATCATTAGTCATTTATATGCCATAGGAAGAACTTGCCATAGCAAGAGGTTCGCCGAGCTTTTTAACTTGTTCCAACAATAAGAGCTCATCTTTGTACAAAGGAATGCGATATTTGGCAAGATCAAGGATCTGGAACCGAATCTCCAGCAGCAAAGTCCTCCAGCAAGATGAAGTCATACTGGGCGATGCTGATGCTAAGTCCGATTACTTCCCTTCCCTCTTTTCCCTCCGGCTTACCTTAGCTATAAAGTCTAAGCAGAGGCATATGAAAGGAAGAAAGAGCTAGGGAGACCTAGTTCTTCCTAGACTGGTAATCTTATAATGCTATCGTGAGATGATCCCCGTTTCTGGGTCATCCCCAACCTTACGGCCAAGATCATCACGTTCCCGGAGGCGCAGACACACGCGCAACCCACAGACCCAAATGCCTGGGTCGCCACTAATATAAGTCACGATGATATGAGGAATACAATTGGCATAGAATGGTTGGTTAGCGCGTATGCAAGTCTATTTCTCGTTTCCACCAGCCATCGACATGACAACCACGATAGCAATAAGCCACCAATACCTATCCAATCGTTAGCATTTCACCCTCTTATTTCGATTCAACAACACTTACTTTTGCAAAAGAGACTTGGGCTCCTCCTCAGCTGCCTTTTTACCATTTGGTGACAGCACAACCGGCTTGTTCAACTCAGGCTGGGCCCCCTTCTTCTCCGCGATAACAACAGCCTTGGGTCCAAAGTCTCTTGTCTGTCCAGCATCGACTCTCACACCCTTAAGCGCCACACTGCGCACATCGCCGCTCTCATCTACAGAGAGTAATATCGTAGGCGCGTAACCGCGGTCAAAGTTCTCCGTTGAGGCAGCAGTTGTACCAGCGATCCAGCGCGAAGACTTGGGGTCGTAGATGCCAACACGGACGAGGGATGCAGACTCGGGCAGCTCAGGGGCCTCGTAGGAGACGATCTCAGTGGAGATGAGTGAGGCGGCGTCGTAGGCGACTTCAGCTAGGATCTGAGGTGTCGAGGGTGAGGATAGGATAGGTTGGATGTAAACTTGAGCTGTGCGCTGCTCAGCTGCCACGAGCGCAGCGGCGCAGATGGTTGATAGGAAGGTTGTGATCCTCATTGCAAGCAGTGGGCAATGATTCGCCTTTGACTGGTGATGTAGTTGATGGATGGTGAGTATGGCAGCTCTGGAGCTTAGAAACGACACATGGGTACCTCCCAGTAGTAGTAGCTTCAGTATGAGGCGGTAGATTGTCGGCTAATTTATTTGAACGAGCAATGGGCATGCACAGTTTAAGATCATCTATATAAGGCAAAACAGGCAAAGTTCTGATCTCTTTGACCAGGAAGTTTTTAATCATGAAATGCAGCAGTGAAAGCTCACAGTTGAGTCTAGACGCTCTCGTACAAAAAGTTTGACATAATACAACCCTTGCATTCCATTCCATCCGTGTACCGTTTCAATATAATCGGAATAAAACCGCCCTTATCCCCAACGCCTGTAAATGCAGTGCTATGCAGAATCAACTCTTTTCCTCTCGTCATGGTTCCGTTAATGAAATTAGTGAAAAAGCTCCTGGCTGCACAGCCAGCTCGGTTGAGTAGTCCTAGAAATTGGAAGGATTGTTGGCCTCGATACTAAATAAAGGACCAATTGGTGTCAAGTCTAACTGTCCGAAGGCTCATTCTCTCCGTCTTCGGGGTCATCATCCTCATCTTCGTCTTCGTCGTCTGAACCATCCGATTCTAAAACATAGCCAGGGGTTCGTTCCACTAGACCCTTGTAATATGCCACGAGGACTTCAGGGTTTGGAACAATTTTCCAATCGACTCGGTAGAGAAATTCCAACTCTAGTAATTTGAGTTCTGCTACTCGAACGCCACCGACCCTAGCATAAGTGGTATTGTTCCAGAAAGAGTCTGATAACCCTTTAGCAGCGACTGTAGCTGCAGTGATTAAAAATCGATGCACAGTCAACGTATTGATGGTGAATTCTTGGTACATGGCGCATAGCCGATCAATGTAGTAAACCATGGCCAGGAGAAGCGGTGGTGTTAGGGTCGCATGTCTAGCCAAACGGTGGAGGTAATCTCGAACCGAGATTCCAGGTGCGGTTC